TATCAAAGAGATTGTCCGATGATTTCCGCATTCCGTTGGGTCACCTCTCTTTGGAATGGGCACAAACATTGATCTCTTCCAATCAGTCGGCCTGATTGGAACACAGTTAGCAGCAGAAATAGAACTAGATCCAGATATCCTGATTTATCACCAATGGCTTTCACTTACTTCATATTACACCTCCACATTCAGTCATTTTGGGCTCCATTTGCAATCTGTCTCTTAAGAAATAACTAGATGTTATGGCCCAGGAGGGAGAAAATCTTGTGAATCCAGTCACAAGGTTGGCTGTTTATGGCCTCTTCAAAAGTCTTCTGTCTTTTACCCCAATGAAAAATTTAATTTGCTATTTTTATCTAAATGGGGGCACAATCAAACTTAATAAAAAATTGAGCCCAAAATTCTTAAAACCTCCCTGTGGATATGGCAACCCAGTGCTGTCTATGCCCATTAATGTCTATTAAATTATCATGCTAAACTTTATACACACTGCAATGCCATGCCACCCATTCTGTTATGATAGTCACAATGCAACTCCAGTCAAGAGATGAATGTCACTAGTCTAGAGCCTTCTGAACAACTTAGATTCAAATGTAGCATTAAATTCAGTAAAAATTAGGCAGTGTGTTTAATGAATAGCTACATAAAGTCACTTAAAAATAACACATGCCTAAATCTAAAATGCAATTTAAATGAAGGAATACCTTGAAGAGCTGGGGGACAGATAATCAGTGTCTGTTGAAAAGCATCACCACAACCAAACTGCGCAGTCCCCGCCTGCAGAGGTATCCCATGGTGCACAACGGAGTGAGAGGATGTGGTTAACGCCTGAAATGAACAGTCAATATCACATTACAGAAAGCAAGATGTTTGTATATGTATATACCATATAGCTACATTACAAACAGAATTCAAGCGCACTTCTTAAAATCACAATCCTACAATAAAAATGGGCCCAGATATGAACACAAAAGAAAACTGACCAAACCCATAAATTTTAGAAACTTATACTACAGAACTAGAAAATCGTATGTTTTGGTAGCATTGTGGCATTGAAGGGCAGGTGGAAGATACTGAAGAGAATGAAGGAATTAAACAAAAAAGAGGAATTTTTTAGTAGGTATATTCTAAATGCTACCCTAAAGTATTAGAGATTTAATAAAATAAGCCACAGGAAGACCTCACCAGCACTCTAGGTTCTGCCAACATGAAGCAAAATGAGTAATCATAAAAAAAGAAATAAAGGAGAACAAACAGGATGGCGGATCGGGTAGACATGCAGTGAGGAGCTCCATCAGCAACAACACAAAAACCCAGACCAAGCAGGCTCAGGGGCTGGTGCCAGAACTCTGAACCACATATAAAGGAATAATTAGAAGGTTGGAAGGCTTACACAGCTAGGGGAATTTGTAGTAGAAGCAAGAAATACATTGCTTTCTAATTCAAGATGCTCAACTGATCCCGGAGTCACCATCTTGGGTGAGACCAAGCGGGGGATGGATCAGAACAGCCACAGACGCCTCACAGAACCATGGAGATAAAGGTCTGGACATTCTTTTTTTGTTGTATCTGTTCATTGGTCTCTCACTGGCTGTGCATCTCCATACTGGTAACTAGAGGAGGTACCTGAATGAGTAGACATTCTATCTCTACCCCCGAAGGATTCTACTACGCATGCGCACAGATCTCCTCAAAATTTAAAGTGACAGTTTCCACTTAAAACCAAACGGCAGAGCCAAACGGCCACATCTGGCCCTGAATTGTTTATCACTAGAAAAAAGGCCTGAATGGGGATTGTGAAGCAGGACAGAAAGACTAAAAAGGAAATCGGCTGAAAATTAAATCCTGAGTTACTTCACAATGACGAACAGTGGCATCTTGAAACTTCTCAGGAAGAAGACAGAAAAGGGAAGTCAATCTATTGATCACATCAATATGGAGAAAGTCAGAAAGCATAAAAAATATCAAAATATACACCCATCTAAGTATTAAGGCCACAGATAATTCCTAAATATGCCTAAAAAACAAAAACAGATGACCTTATCAGCACATGTCCAGAAACAAGATAAAGTAACTAAGGCAAATGAACTGGAAGCAGACCTACAACCCATATTGGAAGATGGGCAGGCTTTGGAAATGCCTGAGAAGGAATTCAGAAAAATGTTTAAAAAATTTATCAAAAACTATACAATGGAGTTGAGAAAAATAAGTCAGGAAAGTGCTACAGGAACAATCAAATAAGAGATAGATAAAGCATTGGAATCAATTCAAAACCTACAGAAAGAGGTCCAAACAACTAACAACAGGGTATCAGACATGGACAATACACTGAAAGGGCAAAAGAGCAGAAATGAAGAGATAGAAGCCAGAACTAGTGAGCTAGAAGATAAATCTCTCAACACTACTAACATAGAAGAGCAAACACAAAAAAGGATTTAAAAAAACCCTGAAGGCCTAAGATTCATGTTGAACAACATGAAGAGGAACAACTTAAGAATTATCGGCATTCTGGAACAGGAAGAATCACACAAGTCCACAGAGGAGATATCTGAAGAGCTGATGGAAGAAAATTTCCCTAACATTCTGAAACGCAAAAAGATAAGCATTCAAGAAGCTCAACGAACCCCAGGAAGGATAGACCCTAAAAGACAATCACCAAGACATATAATAATAAAGCTCTCCAAAATCCAAGATAAGGACAGAATCCTGAAAGCAGCTAGGGAAAAGAGAAGTGTAACCTACAAAGGCAAGCAAATCAGATTAAGCTCAGATTTCTCAACAGAAACCAGGCAGGCAAGAAGGCAATGGGGAGACATATATAAAACCCTGAAAGAAAAAAAACTGCCAACCAAGAATTTGATTGACAAAGCTGTCAATCAAATACGATGGTATAATCAAAACATTCCAGGATAAACAGAAGCTAAACCCCGCTATGAAAAACATCCTAAAGGAAGTTCTATGGACTGAGAACCAACAAGAACAGAAAAAAACCAGAGAATGATGTACATGGTAACATCACCCTGAACTCAATCAACAAATGGAACATTCAAGAACAGAATAAAATTATAAGAACAGAGGATCTGGGAGGTCAGTCTATGACCAAAACAATTACAATGTGAAAGAAGGTAAACACAGAGGAACAGAGTTCCAGGTGGTGAGAAGGTCAGACAGATTACAGGATAAAATAGACTACATTAAGTGGAGAGAAGAGTTAATGTAATATGAGGTAACCACAACAGTGGGGCTGGAGTGGGGCTTTAGTTCAGATGTTGGGGAGGGCAATATAAGAAGGGGGAGGAGGCAGAAGAACAAGATAGGTAGGGGAACACTAAGAAAGGTTTGCATGGGCTAAGTGGAACAGAGGTAAATAGTGATGCAAGCTCAACCTTGCAACAACAGGGCTCTGGGATACAGGGATCTAGGCATAATTTGAAGAGGGGAAATAATACTAAAATGCTTGACTGTCTTATGAATATCAGTTTCCCTTGCCTACTATTGTAAAATAGACACTTGAGTGGGATAGAAAGGAATGTTGGGAAACATGATTACAGAAGACTTGTAAGCCTGTCTTCAGCCTATAACTGATTGGAATACCTAAAAGGGGTTCTACAACTTGCCCAGTGAAATAGGCATCTTGCAAAGCCTTTACAGAGTATATATAGGACCTTAGGTGGAATCCTGAGTCCCATCCAGAACCTTATGAGGTGGGACATTCCCACTTGAAAGGAGAAGCAGACCAGCCTGGAACAGCTAGAGCAACAGAAGATACATCTTCAAAGAAAGGTCATCAGGAAAACCCCCCCAAAAAAAGGTCAGCTTGACTGGCTACTACAAGGATAAGCAAGCAGTTAGCCAGGAGGCCATCAAGGCAAGCAATCAACTTCCTTCAAGACAAACTCCTCTCTAAGACTGAAACTCAAAGGGAAAACATAAACAGGTATGTAAACTTGCGGGTGACCACATTGGTCTACTGGTGAGTGCAAGAGGGGGAAAGGGGAAAGGTAACAATGAAGAAATGGGCTGAGTTTAACCACAATCCATGGACTCCCATTGATCTGGAGATGAGAGAGAGAAGAGGAAGGGATGGTTGGTCCAAAGTGTGGTGAGACCTTGGGGACACTTGAGCCCAAGGACAAGGACATAGCCACAGAGGTCTAGAACTGAGAGTGAAGCATACAGCTGATATAAGTGAGGGGAGATGCATAAGAACACCCAAACTTGCAGACAGTACCCATTTGACCTAGCCTCAATGGCTTGATAATCAGAACTCGACTAGAGAAAGATTACAAAAAAAAATTTTTTTTTTTTGTTAAGGAAACAAGGGTACAATTTGATGAACTTGATCTATACTCATGGAGGTAGTAACTCTAAATACCAACACAGAGGGAAGGAGTCTTCACATCAAGTATCAATGCTATTCCCCTCTGTACACACAGTAGATACTGAAGGTCAACTTAGACATTGGCTACCTAAGATGAGGGGGTGATAAAAGCACGAAGTCACTGGCTTACAAGGTTTCAAGAGGGAGTTTAGTGTAAGAGCATGGGAGGGAAGAAAGAGTACCCACTGAATAGTTTTCATCTTGTCTAGATGGTTCTGGTGAAAAGAGATGGGGATAAGATTCATATGATTCAATAGTGAATAATTGTTACCATGACTAATTGCGACTGTCACAATTGTAAAGTTAGTTTTATAACAAAAACAGGGGCGTGGTTAATCTTACAGTCCAGAAACAGTGGACCCTAGGACCATCATAGGAGAAAAGCACAAGTAGAATGTGGGACCTTTTCCAGAGAAGCCGCAACGCCAGAGATGGAGGCAGAGATGGGGTCATGGAGAGGGGAGCAGCTGAGGACTCTAGATTTTTGGAAGAGAAGGAGTAAGAGCTGGTGGCCAGGAGGCAGATTAGCAGAATGTGCCCTTTGAAGGTGTAAATTATTATATATGCCTGAGAGGTTTTTGTTTTGTTTTGAAAAAACAGAAAGCTAAAGTGAATAGTTAACTGATGGTACATGGAGGGGATTATACTCATTGTAATGAAACAAGGTATATGATTTATGGAACATAAAACTGATGATCTGTCCTGTAAACTTTCACTCAATCCACAATAAAACCCTTAAAAAAAGAAACAAAGAAAGAAATACAAATTATTGTTGTTGTTGTTAAGTTCCATTGAGTTGGTTCCAACTCATAGTGACACTGTATAGGGCTTTAGAGGGGTGGCTGGTAGGTTTGAACCTCCAACCTTGTGGTTAAAAGACCAATGCTTATACTACAATGCAACACCAGGACTCCAAAATTAAATGATTGTTATTAAATACTGTAAATTCTTACCTGACTTCTTAGTGTGCCAATTTTAGTAAAATTTGCTGTCAGATTAGCAGCACTGCCTGAAGCAACTGGTCTTAAAAGTGATGTAATTTTATTATGATTATTTGTGTCACATGAATTTGGATGGGACTTACAAATATCCATAATATGAAAACAGGATTTTACACTGCAAAAGAAGAAAAGACAGGTTAACTGCATTATTTTAAATACTTAAAATTAATGTACATTCACAACATTTAAAAACCCCTTCCAAAAGAACTGTATCATTTGTACTTGGTCTGTTTATTTCCAATACTGTTTCTACCGAGAAATAACAAAAAAATGTAATTTCAAAGGAAGTAAAATATCTTCTATCTGTAATATTTTTTAAATACAGCAAAACAATAATAAACATTTTTTTGGTTAACAAACAATAATTTTAAGACGCTGACCCCCAAATAATTTCTCCCAAACTTCTAGAAACCCACAACTTCAAATAAATGCTATCAAGTGTGTGGCTGCTATATTAGGATATTTTTAATGTTGAGGGGAAAGCAGTTGGGCTTTATAAAAATACTAATTTTAAGGACAATTCACAATACTAGATATTGATTCATTCCTATGTCATCTTTATTCAGTCTTTAAAAAATATTTTTAAAAAGCAGTTTTAAATCACTTATTTTACTCCCTTCATTCAATACAGAAGAGGCCTGAGGATAAAGGAATTCAAGAGATTTGCCCAAGGTCTTCTGAATTTAACATCTTCTCTCTACTAACTCATTAAAAGTCCCCTTCTCTTCCACACCTCAGAAGAGAAAGAAGAGAGAAACGGAACCAAAAGAAAACAGATTCTAAGGCCTATGAAAACTGAAATATGACTTGAGAGAGAAAACTGTTAGCACTCTTTTTTATTATACGCAAGCCTGGCTGTAAAAGTAGAAATATAAAAACAAAATCACTCAAGTCTTTATTTTCAGTTTGGTATTTTAGAGGAGTCCTAGTGTAGGGCTAAGTGCAAGGTCGGCAGTTCAAACCCATCAATCAATCTTCGGAAACCCTAAATAGAGTTGCAATGAGTTGAAACTGGTTCAACGGCACTTAACAACAGCAACAATCACTTTGCAGAAAGAACATGACTATAATTCAGGCTTGTATTCTAGTTTTCCTGAGCTACTTTTTTGTATATGTGGCTTGACCAAGGCAGCTTAACATCTTTTGATTCAGTTTACTTTTATATTTTTATATTCAGTGCGGTGTGTGTGTGTGTGTGTGTGTGTGTGTGTGTGTGTGTGTATGGGGGGGCAGGAAGGAATGAGCTCTTTAACACACTTATTTTCTATAGACTTAAGATTATTTTTCCAGAATTACTTAAAACAATTTTTAAATAACCTACTGGTTGCTATGAGGGAAATCTAGAAGATGTTTCATATTAACAAAAGGATGGTTCAGAGTTTCAGCTGGAGTAATTCTTAAATCTGCATCAATCAGCAACATTTTCTTCAAAAGACTAACAAATTCTCTTCTATCCGCTTTCTCAGCCAAAAGATCACTTCCTTCCAAATCCATCACCGTGTTCACCTAAGAAATTAATATTTCAAGTCAACAAATAAAAAATAAGCCATAAAGGGTAAGACATGTTAAAGTTTCCCAATTAAAAAAAAAAAATTCATCTCAACATAGGAAAAAAACTGGAGACCATATCTGTTACAATGTTACAATACCTTCTGGTTCTTCCCTCTCCCCTCCTTCCAACTCCATTTGTCTGTTTCCCCGCCCTAAGCTACAAGGTGCGTAGTTTAAAGGACAACATGGCTTTTGATAGGCCAGAGCTAAATCACCCCAGCAATGACCACTCCGGTCCTGTTGAACCTATATAAATCCCCTCCCTTCCCGTTCACTCTCCCTTCTACTTCCTTCTTTCTCTCCTCCTTTCCGCCTCCTGCCTTCTCTCTCCAGCAGAGGTTATCTTCCTCACCCTGAATAAAGGTCTTTAGATGGGCCATTTGGAGTGAGGTATGGTTGATGAGCGGCACCAGGGTTGTTTTTCCCCTTTCAATATCGGGCTGAGAACTCAGGGTCAGCAGTTGGAAACTACCAGCTGTTACTTGGGAGAAAGATGAGGCTTTCTGCTCCCGTAAAGATTTACAGCCTCAGAAACTCTGTACAGGGTCGCTAAGAGTCAGAACCGACTCCACGGCACATAACAATAACAACATCATTATCTTAAACAAGAAAGAACAATTAAGCTTAATAAATGCTCAAAATGTTTTGAGATATTAAATGGGATTTGAAGGAGGAAAAACAATTTTTTAACTAAACAAATCTGCTTTTGTATTTTTTACTAAAGAACTGGCTAGTGTTAATTAAAAATCTAATCAAGACAAATGCAACATTTCCCTTTAAGACTAAAACCTTAGAATCAATTTTATTTGGAAAGCTTAAAAACAGCAGGTACTCAAAAGTTTTTAAAAAATTATTAACTGTTTTGGCATCCCTAGCATTCAAGTTTACCATCTTAAGCACATAAAATCCCCAAATCTGACCAAGGCAACTCACATGCACTATATCATCCAGGCTGCTGAATATGTACTTTCTGGCTTCTTTAGACTTCATGCCTGTCTCCGCCTCATGTTCTTCTAGAGTCTGATTGTGATATAGCCAAGAGAAACAATGTTGTTAATCACCATTTATCTATTTTTATTTCTATAACTTGGCACATTTAGTTTAACACACTGACTACTCTTAGGCCAGTAAAAGTTTCAAACTTTAAAAAATATATAGTGTTTAAGAAATACCACTTAACAAACACACACACAAGTGTGCGCAAAAACAAAAACAAAAAAGACCAGAAGAATTTGGTTCAGATATTCATGGGGTTTTTTTGTTTTGTTTTGTTTTAAAAACCTATTACCAAATTAGTCACTGAAAATTTACTGATTACCTAAAGATCCTAGCAATAAATTAGGTACTTGTAATATATTGTAAGGAGCTCTGGTAGCATAGTGGTTACGAATCGGTCTGCTAACCGCAAGGTCAGCAGTTCGAAACTACCAGCAGTTCCGCGGGAGAAAGATGAGGCTTTCTGCTCCCATAAAGATTTACAGCCTCGGAAACCCTGTGCAGGGTCACTATGCGTCGGAACCAACTCCATGCACACAACAACAACAATACATTGTAAATGGTCATATTCAGCTACTTCCCTATGAAGCTTAATAAAGTAGAATTGGAGAGAGCAGACAAAGCACACATACAAATAAAACTTTACTGATAAAAGTTTTAACAAACATAAGGTTTTAATTTATGCTGCTAGGTTAGAGAGTAAATTATGGGAATGCGTTCCTCTTAAACAAAGGGTAGAAATAAAAACTTAAAAAGGGAAGAAATGTAATAGACCAAAAACAATATGGAGGATATTATCCATGCATATGAGGCATCTAGGAAGTGTCTTTTCTAAACATTATCTATATTATTATTAATTACCTTTAATCTCCAACCAGAATGAGAAATATCTGTTTCTCTGCAAAAAAATCTTGTGGATTTTGTACCCACATTTAACAACTGCTCTCCTGGTAAACCTTGAGTCTGAGAAATATATCGAATCTGAAAAACAATTTATAACAGAAGGATTTTTTTTTTTTTCATGCAACAGACATTAAGTAAACACTTACTATATACATCAGTTACTAAGCTACATGTTAGACCAGGAATGAAAAGACAGTCTGTGTCTTAAAGAAATTCACAGTAGGAAATAAACTAATAAACAATTATAATACAGTGTTTTGTGTACTATGCACTATGAAAAGACAAGATAATGCTCAAATTGGGTCTAAAAGGACAAAAATAAAGAGTTAGCCCTGGGAAGGTAGAAAAAAACCCAATCTAGTCCACGGCCAGTATATTTATAAAAATGGAAAATAAAAAGACTATTCAGGAACTAAAACTACAGTTCACGGTACCCCTTTGGAATAACTAAACCACCTCTGAATTTTCTTTCGGTATTAACCTCAGTAGTCTCAGACTAGAATTGTAAAAACCAACTTGAATTGCCACTAGATGGTGTTCTGTTTCAGGATATTGTGCATGGCATAAATTGTAATATGCAAAAGGAAAAGGTACATTTCTAGCATTTGACTGGTACCTCAGTACTCCTTTAGAGATCAATCATGGGACTCTCCTACTTGATTATCAACTCTGTCAGAGCTTAGCAAGAGTTTAGCATCTGTAACAAAAGTATATGTTGGTGGCTGGATATAAAACTGGATATAGTGAGTGTCACCAAAGGAAGTCAGGAAGTATGGAAAATTTTATACTAACTGTCTTCTTTTTAATAGGTATCCTGAACATGAGGATGAGGGGAGGAAGAAAGGTGATAATATAAGAAATCTGGCATAAAAACAGGAATGTGAATGAGTACAAATTCACTTCAAGACAATAGATTAAAGCCAGTGATAACATATAATCAAGTAATTAAAATTAAATGACTTTGAGAGTACCTCAGGAACATCTAAGTCATCCAAATTAAGTACTTCTTTATTCCCTTTTGATATTGAAACTAAGCCCAGAAAATTAGATTTAAGGCTCAACATATTATACCATTATGCCATGTGTACTTTAAAATGTTTTATTTTCTATTTCTATCTTAAGTGTCAAATAATATATTATTCTAAATATAATTACTTTACACACTACAAGCCAATTTCAGAAAGACAAAATTCATTTTAACGTTAATTTTGACTAATATTTCCCACCAAAAAATAAGTTAAAAAAGTATCCAATAAGAAAGATACCATGAACCTTTTTCAAGGAATGAGTAAAACAAAACTGAGTAAGATAACAAGCAACAGTGTACAATAGCTCAAGCAAATATACCTGAAAACTATAATAAAGAGTGAATTTAATGAGGTAATTTTCTAGATTCTACTAGAATCACTGAAGTTGTGCGAAACTAGGCTTGAAGTACCATTCATTCAAAAGCAGCTGAAAATACGGGAAAGGGTTCAAGTGTCTGCGGTACTTAAGACCAATAATGGTTGTAGGTTTAAGACCAGGAGTTATGATGATTTTTTTAAGTTTTTATTCCTTGTGAGAAGTGGACATTTTATCTGAAGGTTGTCATCAAAGCAAAGCACAATTATTTAAGGAAATACAGTTCAGGCTTTTAGATTTCTATATAAAAATATCTGATAGAAAAACTGCTCCCAAGAGCATTACAGAACTAGTTTTTGGACCTTTGGGTTCTAATTTTATTTACAAAAACTTACCTCAGTGTTACATTTTATTAATGAAATATCAATTTAAGATCTTGAATTTAAATTTTATATCACAAGTTTGATCACTTTATTTTTTATAGATTTTCACATGTATTACACACCTGGTGCTGCACATTTCTATACATCTATTATTAATCTTTGTTTTTTAATCAAGTTTATTTAATTATCATGTCAGATATGTTACCTGATCATACTCCAAGGCTCCTGGGTAGAGCGGCCATCCAAGGAATAGCTCTGCAATCACACATCCCAATGACCACATGTCTATGGCTTCACAAAATGGCAACCCCAAAATAATCTCTGGAGCTCTATAATTTAAAAAAAAAAAAAAAAAAAAAAAAAGATCAGGGTGGTTTTCCTTTAAAATCTATGACTTATTTCCTTTGACATTCTAAGAAAGGATAGTAAAATGACAGAGGAATCTGCTTCTATTTATAATAACTTTACATTTTTCAGAATTCTTTTTGAAATCCAGTCACAGTCCTGAATTAAACTGAAAAGGGATCTATGAGCACCACATTGTTATGATAAAGTCTCTATACCATAATTACCCTACCTTATAGAAAGTTTCATTAACATAACCGCAGAAAGCATAGATCTCATTGAGACTAGGTCAGCAGTTCAAACAGGATTGCTATGAAACAGAATCAACTTGACAAAACTTATTAACAACAGCAACAAATGGTGACCCCATGTGCCAGACTGCAAAGCCATCTGAACTGCAAGATTGGCGGTTCAAGCTCACCAGCTGCTCCTTGGAAACCCTATACAAAGTCGCTATGGGTCAGAATCGACTCAACAGCACTAAACAACAACTACATATGTGTCACTGTAAAACTGTGCTCCATAAAGTTTGAACACAATAGAAATAGCAAACTGGAAAGAGAATGGCTAAGTATTAAATATTTAAGGCATCACTAGAGTTGAAAATCAGACATTCAGGGATAAGACTAAAACAATACAAAAACTCCAAAGGCTGGATCTAGGCCTTTAACTTCAAATACCACAATGAATATTCACAAAGTTAGAACTTTAGTTATCCAAAAGAGATAAAACCAAGCATTTTGACAATTGGAGGACTTATTTGGAAAAGAAACTCCATAAAATATGTCACCCTCAGACAGATTATGTTGCTATATCATATGGCTTTCCCATGAAAAGAGCAAAGTCCTAAAAGAACTTCCACATACAAGTGTGTAATTACAAAGGATGCCATACAAATCTCATAGTAATCCTAGATGAAACCAAGAACTGGGTACTAGGGAGTCTCATGACTACTGGATGTTACTATGAGGGTGTGTATATTATATATACTATATGAATGTTTATATATAATACATATATGCATATATATAACTACTTATAGATACAAATATTTTAAGTGATGAGTTCACACAGATATATCCAATTCTAATCTAATGCCACAAGTTCATTTTAGTTTTCTCCCTTTTCTAATCCTCTTAACAGACTTTCTTACTTGGTCAATTATCTAAGCCTCAATCCAAGTCCTACCAGTCAGCTAATTCACTGCTTGCACTGCTCAGGCTCTGACACCTCATGCTAGACAATTCCACAGTAGTTGACCACTGCCTACATTCTTTCCCCAACCTCAACTCCCTTCTCAATCCTCCTGGGCTCTCACACGCTGCAATGGCCTGCCGTCCATGTGGATATGCCTCTTTAGCCCCACCAGGATGCCCACATGCACAGACACACCCTTCTCAGAGGCAGTACATCTCCCCACAGTGTAGACAACCTTCCCAAGCTCCAAATACCTGGTATTGGGCCACTGCTGCCATAGATGATCCCCCATGCACATGCCCAAATGCACACTCTCCTCAACCAGCTTGGGCTCCACCATTCATATATTGGTATACCTATTGTAAGTGTCATAGAATTATGACAACAACCTTAAAACAACCCTGTATAGGGCTCCCAAGAAGCAGCTGGTGGTTTGTGACCTGTGGTTAGCAATCCAATGCTGATCCTACAGGACTGACTTCTAGCCATAAATTTTTGGCAGGTGCCAGTAAATTGTGTCTTAGCAAGAACCTCCTATTTCCAATTCATTCAAGAATGCCATACAGATGAGGCTAGTGGGACTCCTGCTAGATTCATAAACTTTATACAAATTGGTTATAAAAGTTAATAATGGAAAACTTCTAGAGCTATAAAGGAATTTGGCAGATTGCCGAGTACAAGGCCAACAAATAAAAATCAGTTAGGTTTCTATAGGCAAGCATGAGAAAACCGAAAGAGAAACAATTCCACTTAAAATAACATCAAATAAAATAAAATCCAGAGATGTGGAATATTTATAGAGCGAAAGCTATAAGACACTGTTGAAAGAGATTAAACAAGACTTAAATAAATAAAAGATAATAGTGCATATTCATGGATTGGAAGACTAATAATGTTAATATATCAATACAAAAATATCCATACATTCAATGCATCCCAATCAAGATTCCAAGTCTTCTTTACAAAGAAATAGAAATTAAACAAAAACAAACAAACAAAAACAATACTTGAATTTATAGGGAATGGCAAGAGGCCTCAAATAGCTAAAACAATGTTGAAAGAGAAAGGAAGAGTCACACTTTCAGATTTTAAACTTGTGGTGCTGTAGGTTAAGCACTGAACTCCAAGGTCAGCTTGAACTGCAAGGTTGGCAGCTCAAACTCACCAGCCGCTCCTCAGAAACACTATACAGTGTAGCTATGAGTAGGAAACAACTTGACAGCACTTAAGAGCAACAACAACATACTGCCTACACTAATCAAAACAGCATAGATAGAAGCAAAATCAAAATGAATAAAGAACTAAATGTACACACTAAAACCATAACATCCTTAGAACAAACAGAGGTGACATTATCAGGCCGATATTTCAATAATGGATTATCTAATACACAGAGCTTCAAAAAGTTGGTGGAAAAATGGAATTCTTCATATAATAGCAAAAGCACACACAGCAAAGGACAAAATAAATCAATGGGACCTCATAAAAATTAAGAACTGTTTTTCATCAAAAGACTACCAAAAATGTGTAAAGACAAGCTACTGGTATCTTCAGAAAACATATATACAACAAGAATATATATATATAAAGCTGACAACAACAAAAAGAAAAACAAATCACTCATAAAATGGACAAAGGATCTGAATACAAATTTCACCAAAGGGGACTTTCTAACGCCTACGAAACACATGAAAAGACGTTGAGCGTCATTAGCTATCAGAGAGATACAAATGAAAACCAGAGTGAGATACCATTTCACTCCCACCAGGAAGGCTAAGAATTTAAACAACACACACAAATAACAAATGTTGGCAAGAAGATGGGGAATTGCAGGGGGGAATGCAAAATGGTACTGTCATTGTGGAAAACAGCATGGTGTGCCCTCAAAAAATTAAAAATAGAACTACCATATATGATCCAGCAATTTCAATCCTAAATATGTAACCAAAAGACTTGAAAATAGAGACTTGTACACCAAGGTTCATGACAACGCTATTCACAACAGCCAAAAAGGTAGGAACAACCAAAATGTCCATCAACAGATCAATGAATGAACAAAATGTGGTACATATATACAATGAAATTCTACTCAGCCAGTAGAAGAAACAGTCTTGATAAATGTTACAGTATGGATGGATCTTGAAGACATTATGCTGAGCAAAAGAGGCCATGAGAAGAACTTGAAGGAATCATGCTGAGAAAATAAGCCAATCACACAAAATTTCACTTGCTCAAAAAGACAAATGCATAGAGATCAGAGTTTATTAGTACTTATCAGGGGCACATATTTTCATTCGCCTCATATGCGTGTGAACGTTAAACAATGAATAAGGAAAATAGTAGAAGAATCGATGCGTTTAAATTACAGTATTGGAGAAGAATATTAAAAGAACACACAAATCTGTGTTGGAAGTATAGCCAGAATGTTCCTGAAAAGCTAGGAGAGGAAGAATTCATTTCTCATACTGTGACATGTTAACAGGAGGAGGAGGGACTAGTCCTGAGGCTGTTTCAAGTCATGATTAAGTCCACTTAATCATGGTAGCGTAGTGGTTACAAATCGGGCTGCTAATCTCAAGATCGTCAGTTCGAAATTACCAGCTGTTCTGCAGGAGTAAGATGAGGCCTTCTGCTTCCGTAAAGATTCACAGACACAGAAATCCTGTGCAGGGTCACTATGAGTCGGAACCAACTCCACAGTACTTAACAACAACAACAATCATGTTTGGTTAAGTGGAAGGTCAGTGAAAAAGAGGAAGACCCCTCAACAAGATGAAATGATATACTAGCAACAGCAATGGGTTTAAATGAAACAATCATGAGGACGGTACAGGACCTGACAGTGTTTCATCCTATTGGGCATAGGTTCACTATGAGTCAGAACCGACTCAATACTATCCAACAACAAAAATCAAGGGTGGGTAGGAGGGGTAAAGAGAGGTTACCGTAAAAAAATCACAGTGATTAAGGGTAGGTTTGTACAGTCAATTATTGTAATTGCTGTCAATGAGTTGTACACCTGTAAAAAGTTGAATTGGTAAAAGTTGTGATAGATGTATAGGCTGCTAAGGTAACTTATGTACAAGCCCCGTATGGGATTTGGTTCCTTGGTTTGAAGGTTTAGGGTCATTGTTTAACAGCCTAGTAAACTATCCTAATAATATGCTTAGTGCTTCGTTCTACCTCCTAGTTTATTCTGTAGTACCTGCAATCTTAAAAGCTTCCAAGCAGTCATCCAAGCACACTAGGCCTTTATCCTCCTGGAACAGAGGAAGAAGGAAGAGCCAGGACTAAGCAGGAGGATATGGAATGGGTGACTAACTGCTTCTTTTGCCATGACACCAGAAGACCTTGACCTGACCTTTTGGGTCCGAATTAAAGGTCCTCATCTTTATGCTCATGCTACCATATATCTATGTACTATCGCTATGAATTGGTACCAACTCGATGGCACCTAACAACAACTATATTAGTACTGACCACCCCACATCATTATTTTTCTGTTTTACTGAGGCACTGAGATGGGGGAGTAGGAGTAATGAGTTGGGGCTATGGCTAGGCCTAGGGTTTCGTGTAGTGTTAGGGTTTTGGTTAGGACTAGGGTTTGTGTGAGGGGAAGGGGTTGGACTAGGCTTTAAAGTTAGCTTTATTTTTTTGCTTGAAATTTACTTGATACCCTCTTCATTTCTAAGTTCTATATCATTTTCCTCATTTTACCTTGTGGGGTTTTTATTGGTGTTGTTGTTGCTTCAAACTGGTAACTCTGATTCCCTATTTTTCATCCTGT